TGTTAACCCTGCTTCCCCCCCCCCCCCCCCCAATTATCAGGAAGAGGAGACGCATGGTCATGTGGCAGAACTTTACCTTGTAAAAAAGGTAAGAAGGACAATGTCTGAAACCAATACCCCGTACACACGATAAGAATGATAGACGAATGATCATCCATTTTTTTTTTCATGCTAGTCTCCATATTGAAAATCAAAAGGGTACTAAACGAACGAAAATTCTCGTCCGAAAATTTTTTTTTGGAAAGTGACGTATTGTATTTGTATTGTATTTTCGAACAGCTACTGTACTGCGTAAACGAAAATCGTATGATCTGGTATTGTACAAGAAACATTTTTGCGCTTGCCCCTTTGGATACTGCCGTATGAATTGCCGTTGTCAGCTCTTGAAAGCTGTGTACTAAAAATCAGATTATCGGATGATCTGTCCTTGTACGAAAATTTTCTTATGTGTACAGGCCATAAGCAAAATCAGTAATGGTGCCTGCATAGTTATAACTGTGTGTTCTACCTTTGTGTAGAATAAAACATTAACAACCGCTACCAAATGACCTGTAAATTAAAAACATACTAATATCAATCTTTGCATCAAATCTGAATTACATCTGCATGAAATATTGCAGTTGAGCTTTACTGTAAAGCTGAATGTCTCCAGGCAAAACCAATACCCCTCAACGTAAAACACAGCATTACTGTGAAAAATGAAAGTGGTTGTAAAGTCTGAAGGTTTATTAGCTTCATGCATAAAAAAAATCTTCCATGTGCTGCTCCCCCCACAGCCTCTCCCTAATATGACCTGAGCCCCCTCTCGATCCAGCAATGTGCACGGGAGCCTCGGCTGTCCCGGGTCTCTCTCTCCTCACTGGTTGAGACACAACAGCGGGAGCCATTGGCTCCCACTGCTGTCAATCACAGCCACTGAGACAATGGGGAGAGAGCAAGGGGTGAGGCTGAGCCACAGCTCTATGTGTCTTTTGGACACATTGATAGGCCTTAGGGACAAGCACATACCAGTACCCCCATAGCAAGCGGCTTGCTATTGGGTGCACTGGTGAAGAGGGAAGAGCCAGGAGTGTGGGCAGGGGACCTGAGAAGAAGAGGATCAGGGCTGCCCCCCCAATTTTAGCCAATTTTTTTCCCTCTTTTTTTCCAAGTGTCCCCCTCCTCTACCATGCTGGTCTAGAAAAGTCATGCTCAAGCAGCCCCCTGGGATAACCTCATCACAAATCTCAGGAGGCTGCAGAACCCATTAACGGAGTGGCTAGAATGTGAAGCTGCATGAGTCATCAGGGGCCAGGCTGTCTGAACACAGAAGAGGGCCAAGATGATGGCACAGGACAATGCTGGATCAGACAAATATGTTTTTTTTAAGAGAACCCAGAAGAAACAGTTAAGGGGAGATGATCTCCTTTAACTTGTGTTAAACACAGAAGAGCCTTCCTAAAACAGAAGGAATCTGAATTTCTCACTTCTATCACAGATCCAAATAAATAAATAAATTAGGAGGAATAAATGGCTTTTTTTTATCTATGCTAGAAGTGTGACTTGCAAATACCTTCTGAGTGGTTCTAGCAAATAGAACTGCTCACCAGAGCTGCCTAACATCATTTCTCAGCACACTACACCCTTTTTATACTGTACCACACAAGGGAAATGTTCTCACCTTGGGAACACTGAATATTTATATCTTTTTAAACAAGTCCAATTCACAGCTCCACAGCAAAAGTGTGAATAGAAAACACTTGTTGGTTTGTTTTAAGAAGAGCAATTATTCATTACCAATAATAATGTTCCACATAATAATGGGATAAAGAACAATACCCTATTAGTTAACATGTAACCTAAAGTAATTATTTATTATTTCAGGTACTTCTACAGTGCCGTCAATTTACACAGCGCTTTACACATATATATTGTACATTCACATCAGTCCCTAACCCTCCAGGGGTGTACAATATAAGGTTTCTAACTTACATTCATACATACACATACTAGGGCAAATTTAGACAGGATCCAATTCACCTACCAGCATGTCTTTGGTGTGTGGGAGGAAACCAGAGTTGCGGGAGGAAACCCACGCAGGCACAGGGAGAACATCAAACTCCAGGCAGGTGGTGCTGTGGCTGGGATTCGAACCACCAATCCTACTACTGCCAGGTGGAAGTGCTAACCATTTAGCCACTGTGCTGCCCAATTCATAGAATTCTAATTCAGGTAGTAAGAAATAATTATTCCCAATTTTCTTTTGCATATATTTTTGTTTCAGAACTACCTTTATGGTGTGGTATGGCTTTGTAAGTAAGACTGGGTATCTTTATAGAAAAAATTGCTGCATATGAATATTTGCAGTTGCAATAATCTGCTGTCTTATTTGATGTAAATAAAGACAGCTGGGACTTTATGACAGCCTAAGATACATCTCTACTTTAAAATACAATAGAACAGCATTGTATATTAGCAAAATATTGCCATAGCTTAAAAGTCAATTTAATAATGATTATGATATACACACACACACCCACACACACACACACACACACATTATATATACATATTTATACAGACACACTACTGTGCACAAGTTTTAGTTAATAGTTTATTTTTATCATTAAAAAATTAAAAAAAGCAAATGAACAGAAGAGATATCCAAATCAAATCAATATCTGGCATGACCACACTTTACCTTCAAATAGCATTTATCCTTCTAGGTACACTTGCACACCTGCATTTTTTGAAGGAACTTGACAGGTAGGTTGCTTCAAAAATCTTGGAGAATGAACTACAGATTTTCTGTGGCTGTAGGCTGCCTCACATCCTTCTGTTTCTTCATGTAATTGTGGACAGACTCAATGATGTTGAGATCTGAGCTCTGTGGGTACCAGATCATCCCTTCCAGGGCTCCTTGTTCTTCTTTACGCTGAAGACAATGACATTGGCTGTAATGTTTGGGGTCACTGTCCAGCTACAGAATACATCTGGGGCCAATGCCACACCTCACTGATGGTATGGCATGATGGATAAGTATCTGCCTGTATTTCTCAGCACTGAAGGCACCATTGGTCCTGGCCAAATCTCCAACTTCATTTGCAGAAATGCAACCCCAAAACTTGTAAGGAACCTCCACCATGCTTCACTGTTGCCTGCAGACACTCAATATTGTACTACTCTCCAGCCCTTCAGTGAACAAACTACCTCCTGCTACAGCCAAATATTTCAAATTTTGACCCATCTGTCCAGACTACCTGCTGCCTTTTTTCTGCACCTCAGTTCCTATGTTTTCATGCATAGTTGAGCCTTGTTTCAACATCAGATGTATGTCTTTTTGGTTGCAATTCTTCTACTCAGACTTCTCCAGACAGTAGATGGGTGTGATCTACTGGGTTTTTCATGCACAACCATTTCTAGGGTTTACAGCGAATGGTCCGAAAAAGAGAAAATATCCAGTGAGTGGCAGTTGTGTGGGCGAAAATGCCTGGTCGATGGGCAGACTGGTTGCTGCGACATTCAGATGGTAGCGTCAGAATTTGGCATAATAAACATGAAAGCATGGATCCATCTTGCCTTGTACCAATGGTTCAGGCTGGAGATGGTGTAATGGTGTGGGGGATATTTTCTTGGCGATAGCAAGGTGTACCTAATAAAGTGACCAGTGAGTGCATATTTGTTGTGAGGCAAATGCTAGCAGGATAGTAGACAGTGTATTTGTCACCTAGGTTTCTAAAAGTACACATTGCAAATGGCACAGCACGAGGATAAAACCTCTATTTTTTGGTCCACATCTTACCTGTTCGCCAGATCCTATTAGCCTCAGCTGTCCACAGGCCTTCACGTGTGTGAGCTGACTGCTGCTTAGGGCTCTATATCTATTTCTTGCTCTCTCTGCCTGCTGCTGGGTGAAAAGGCTGAGTGCTTCCCCTTCCTTTATACTTAAATTCAACTGGACTGCCTTTGAACAATTCTGTCTCTGTACCACTACAGGGTTTGCAGAATCCAGTACACTGGAACTCTCTTCTATGCATGGACTATTTTTTTGTGCTTCTTGTCAAATGTTTAATTATATTTCCAACATGATTAACCAACCTTAAAGTGAGCTCTCATATTGTTACTTTAGCCTTTGCTATTCATGTGTACAAGATCTGTCCTAATTGAACTTGCTTTGATATTCCTTCATGTATACGAGCAGTATCATTCTTGTTATATTTCACTATAAACATTTTTTGGAAAAAAAAAATAAAATTGATGTGAAAATTAAAATAAAGAATGTTAGAAAATATGGCCCCTATGTGAGTCTGCAGCAATGGAAAGCTATAGTACACTCTAGCTACCTATATGTGTGATATATATATATAATTTTTTTTTTTTTCACCCCCCCAAATCACAGAAACAAAATCTTCAGTACTAAAGCGGAGTACTAGTAATCACTTATAGCCGCCTCCAACTCCCCCCTCCATGCACACTCGCTAGTTGAACATTTCAGGATTAAACACATTATGACCTATATATGTAGTGTTAATGTATTTGAGATTGCACCTATGCTTTTATGTGTATACTGCCAAAAAAATACAACACTACTTATGAACTTTGGTGGGTCATAGACAAATATGTTACTGCAAAGTCTGAAGGCAAAACTGAAAGCTTAAAATCGACTGCAAGTGAATTAAAGGTAAAGCAAAATACTATTTAGGAAAGAGTGTCAGCCTAAGCAGGTTGTACAGAAGAGGACCAAAGACTGCTAAATGTTATCAGAATTGGTATCCATGCTCTTTATGGACTGAGAAGGTAAAAGCACAAATGAAGGTGACCCATCAATAAAAAGCACCTTTGCTCCTTCCAAAGCCCAGTCTCAGCCATATTTAAACTGGATAGTTCACAGATTCACGCATGTTTGGTAAATACGCCTAGTTTGCAGAAATTACAATCCAATGGTTCTCTATATTCAGTTCACCTGTTCTAACAGACACGAAGAAACAAGCAAAAGTTATTTTGTAACTATGGCCACTTACATTGTCATCACCATATTCTGCTTGGTAGGTCCAAAAATTTTCCATGGAGCACTTTGTTGGTAAAAGCTGAAAAGTAAAAATAAGCTCTAACCAGGGAAATGCAAAATGGACTGGCTGTGTCTCTCTTATGAAGTAATGTGAAGTCAAACAAATACAGGACAAAAGTAATCGGAGATAGGTTACGTGGCAGTTATTTGAGACCGTCTCCATTGACACCATTTAAATTTTTCATGAAACCTTGTTATGATTCTTCCAGCAACCTGCATTATATTATGCTACTTTTAGCTTAATTTATCCCTTCTATTTAGGTCCTCACAAAGCTATTACAAAAGTTACATTTTAAAACCATTAAAATTTAGAACTTTATTTTTACAACCAAGATTTATGCACAATTCTTCCATTGGCATAACATGGATCTAGAGGTAAAATCTAAAGTCTGGCTGTTTAGTATTGATTCACCGGCACTGTTAATTATCAGTAGAAAAATACTGCTACCTTTGGCTGAAAATGTAAAGTAGAACTATAAGCAAAACTTTTTTTCATATTGGATAGAGCAAGAGAGGGTTTTAACCAGTCATATGGTTTTCCATCTGTGTCCCATTGCAGAGATTTCCCTTCACTTGCTGTCCCATAGCCAAGAGGAAATGGTAGGAAAGCCCTGCAAATTAAGGGAATTCCTTGGGGACCCCCAGGTCACCAGAAATAGTGTTCCCCATTGGAAGATTTCCCCTCTATTACTTTTCTGGGGACAGCCCAAAATTTGGGATTTTCTTTAACTTTCACTTTCAATGATAATGGCAAACATTTGGACAAAAAAAGGCGAATCTCTTTAACGGGAGCACAGACTGCAATAAAATCTGACAAGTGTTATAAATCCTCTCCACTCCATCCAAAACCAAAAAAAAAAAAAAGAATGATGCCTTTGGTTATACGCGAAGATTACCGTTTGTTCCATTTGTCAAGTGCAATCCCCATTTTGATAGGTCTTTCCCTTCTTTGCCTCAAAATACTAATTGCACTGTATGGATGCTAACCTAAATGCCTCACCACACAGGTACCAATGCATAAGTGTCTCTCGGGTGCTGAGCTGCCTTTCCTTTTCCAGTTACTCAAAATCCAGAAAGGATTGTAGGCCCATCGCCTAAGACAATTGTCGTGTCTGCACATCTGGATTCAGCAACACTATATTAAGGTGGCGTCTGAGCAGTGTTTATAGCGCTTTTCCTAGGGAAAGAGAGAGGTTGAGCAGGATGGACTTCTTACTGGAGAGGCTGCCGCATGCAGCTTTATGGTGAGTTACCATGAAGAAATTAACTCAAAAACACATGTGATGAAGGCCTTTACCAACTGAGTGTCTGTGGCCTGTGAATTTGCTGTCCTGCTAAGTTCTGATCTCTGCATGCACGGTTAGGGTCTTTATAAACTTGTAAAAAATGAGGAACACCTACAAATGAATCTGGAAACTCTTAATTTAAATTGAAAAAATGTGTTTATGGAAGTCTGTAAAAACATGGAAATATTTGCAAAAATAGAGTTTGGCTGTGGAAGCAATGTCAATAATACTGGCTGGCTTTTAAATCAGTCACAGGATGAAGCACTGGTTCTCATATGTAAGGTACAAACATAATATAAAGAGAAAAATATATTTTCATCCATGAGCAGAAGAGGGAATTTTTTTCTTATTTTAAGTCACTATATTTAACCAATTGTCTGTATTAAGTACAAACAAACTTGCAGTGTTGGTAACCCATTTAGGGGAAAGATCATTCATCCAGGCTGAGCAGTTTACTTTCCACTAATTGTAGTCAGTTACATTATCACTAATTGTGGTCAGCTATACAGCTCTGTTATACATTTCCAGACATAATGGTTAGTTTGTCACCCTGTAATTACTATTTAAATCTGGGTCTGGGAAACCAATAGTCAATAGTGGACATTTAAAATAAATAAATAAATAAAAAACACTGTCCCAAGCCGCGGGCAGTTCAAATCGCACTTTTCTTGGTAAAGGGAAAGGCTAAATGGGGTGGAACTATCACACTGAGGAAGCAGCCTCAACCTGATGGCGAGGTACCGTTTTGAAGAAATTGTACCGATTGTTTCAATTGATTCAATTGCGCACATAAAAAATCACTGAAGTCACTATCCTAAACACATTTGCTGCTCTGTACTGTAAACACAACTAAAACAGTTGCTGAAAGTCTTTGTCATTGATAAAAAAAAAAAAAAAAAAAAAAAAAAACTTTGAGGAGTAGTTATTTTAACCCAGCAAAAATTCCAGCAACTTGTCAGTTTGTGGTTACAAAATGACAAATTTGATTAGGTGATTTTACCAATGTTTATGTTCACTGTTATAGCACAATTCATTCACATCTCTAAAAATACTTTTTTAATGTCTCCCAACCTAGAGGCTTAGTTTCTTTGGATTGGTGGTCCCCAAATAGACACATGAAAACCTCTGAACTGATGGCAGCCCAGTCTTTGTAACCTGTCTGATCATGTAAAATCATGATTTGTAGAAAAAGTATTTTTTAACAGTCTTGGAATACACAATTAAGTGTTGTGTATTTTATCAAACTAACCCAACTCAGAATACTGCTAACCAGGTCACTAGGGATTATTGCAGTGCATACAAAAAAAGAGGGTTGTGAAAAGAGATTCACAGAAAAGCGGCTACATAATGAACAGAACGTGACACTCAGGAAATAATTTCCAAAAATTATGCTTTATTACACATATATAGATATGACATATGGGCATATGCCCTGGTTTACCATCACCTCAGTATGAGACAATACACACAGACCTAAAACCATTTAAAATGACACCAGAACCGGTCTAAATGTGTGTGTAGAGCAGGGAAAATGGCTACATGAGTCTAGTGTCCCTGTATCACAAACACATAGGTGAACACTTCCCTAGGGAGGTGTATCCAAAAATTATGCCATGGGCATACCAAAATGGAGGATAGAAGGGATTAAGCAGTAACCATTATGGCAAATCCCTATCAAGGAATCCAAAAATTATGCTATAATGTGTATATCACATGTATGCAATAGAGCAAGCACAATATGCGTCAAAAAGGAGAGTAGCAGGCCTCAGGCCTGTATGAAGAAAGACATAAATGTCAAATATATTATACAATACCATTGGTCCTGACGAAGCTGAGTGAGATACGCCCATCGGCGAAACGCGTTGACGTCATACGTCAGATACGTCACTTCCGGTCATGCGCACTAGGTGGAACGCACGCTGACCCATAGGGAGGAAGCCATCTTCACAAGCCATGAGGCAAGCTTAAGCAGCACAAGCGCCGAGAAGGGGCTGGAACCCGCGGTATATCAGCGGATGTCAGCGGTGGTTCCTTGGCCGCCTTGGCCCTGTATGGCAGTACCTATGAAGGACTTTTCTTTCATTCCTGTTATCCATAGCACAGGTGGTGAGTGGATCGTTACAGGACATTAGATATATGGTCCACTGTGATCTATATGACCTATATATCTTCCATAGAGTGTTAGCTCTGTCAGTGACTTTCCACATATTGTTTGTTTCACTACAGGATGGGGACATTATGGTGCTATGTATAGGAAACAAGATATACCATCATATATATCTCAACAGGCAGAAGAGTCTTTGGGATGTGTCGTATCTTTTCCTACAAAAGTGGTGAATAGTCCACATGTAGTGGTGAAGAAACCATTTCAAGCAGAATGCTGCTGTGTGCATCTTTTCCTCCATCCTGGAAATAAATGGGGCATATTCCCATCTAAGAGCTTTAGGAAACAGCTATCTATATTACAGATGAATGGGCCCCAACCACTTGTGCCGGCACAGGAATGTATTGTATAATATATTTGACATTTATGTCTTTCTTCATACAGGCCTGAGGCCTGCTACTCTCCTTTTTGACGCATATTGTGCTTGCTCTATTGCATACATGTGATATACACATTATAGCATAATTTTTGGATTCCTTGATAGGGATTTGCCATAATGGTTACTGCTTAATCCCTTCTATCCTCCATTTTGGTATGCCCATGGCATAATTTTTGGATACACCTCCCTAGGGAAGTGTTCACCTATGTGTTTGTGCTACAGGGACACTAGACTCATGTAGCCATTTTCCCTGCTCTACACACACATTTAGACCGGTTCTGGTGTCATTTTAAATGGTTTTAGGTCTGTGTGTATTGTCTCATACTGAGGTGATGGTAAACCAGGGCATATGCCCATATGTCATATCTATATATGTGTAATAAAGCATAATTTTTGGAAATTATTTCCTGAGTGTCACGTTCTGTTCATTATGTAGCCGCTTTTCTGTGAATCTCTTTTCACAACCCTCTTTTTTTGTATGCCTCTTTTGGCTACTGAATGGAGACCATATATTGGGTGACACGCTAATTTATCCAATAACCTCTTAAATAATTATCTTATTATTGCAGTGCATGCCTGCCATGTTGTGGGGCTATTACTGCACAAGCCTACCAGACTGTGAGACTGTTACTGCATAAGCCTGCCATACTGTGGGGCTATTGCTATATAAGTCTGCCACGCTGTGGGGCTGTTATTACATAGGTCTGCCACGCTGTGGGGCTGTTATTACATATGCCTGCCATGCTGTGGGGCTGTTATTACATAAGCCTGCCATGCTGTGGGGCTGTTATTACAGAAGACTTCCATACTGTGGGGCTGTTATTACATATGCCTGCCATGCTGTGGGGCTGTTATTACATATGCCTGCCATGCTGTGGGGCTGTTATTACATAAGCCTGCCATGCTGTGGGGCTGTTATTACATAAGCCTGCCATGCTGTGGGGCTGTTATTACAGAAGACTTCCATACTGTGGGGCGATTATTTCACAGGCCTGCCACGCTGTGGAGCTGTTATTACATAACCCTGCCATGCTGTGGGGCTGTTATTACATAACCCTACCATGCTGTGTGGCTATTATTACATAAGCCTGCCACACTCTGGGACAGTTACTACACAAGCATGCTATGCTGTGGGGCTATTATTACATAAACCTGCCATGCTGTGAGACTATTACTTCATAAGCCTGCCA